ACTTGGATATTGTGTACTGCTTAAGGGTACAAATTTGCTACTGTTGAGGCTTGTCTGGTTGTGCCTGCTGACAATGCACCAGACCAAGAGAAAGAGGAGTATGCTCGGTGGAAAAAGGCTGACGAGATGGTGAAGTGTTACATCTTGGCATCTTTGTCGAATGTACTTCAACATCAACATGAGTCTATGAACACTGCAGCAGAGATGCTTCTCAATCTCAAGGAGTTATTTGGTCATCAGTCGCGGGCTGCCCGAAAAGAAGCCATGAGGGTTCTGATGAACATGACCATGCACGAGGGCACTCCCGTAAGGGAACATGTTCTTGCTATGATGGCCCAGCTGAATGAGCTAGAGGTTCTTGGGGCTTTTATTGACGGGGAAACCCAGGTCGATACAGTGCTCTAGTCTTTACCAAAGAGCTTCGAGCAATTCCGGTTGAATTACAACATGAATAAGATGTTGATGACACTTACAGAACTTGTCTCTAAACTTCAGTTGGCAGAGGGCCTGTTTCGTCAGAAAAACCAAGCTATGGTGGCCCAGCGGGAGAAGCTTCCACTTCTAAGGCTCCTAAGGGCAAGAAGAGGAAGAAGTCCACAGAAAAGGGCAAAGCGGTCATGAGTGACGCGTAACCTCAAAAAAAAAGCGAAGAAGCCGAAAGGCAAGTGCCACAATTGCCAGCAGAAATGACACTGGAAGGCAAACTGCCCTTTCCCCAAGAAGTCCGATAAAGGTACACATTTTGCTTTAGTCGTTGAAACATGTTTAGCGGTGTTATCTACCAGTACCTAGTGTGTAGATACAGGGGCCACTGATCTTGTCTGCAATTCATTGCAGGGGTTCCAGGAAACCAAGCGACTTAGGGAAGGAGAAGTTACCATCTACTTGGGCGATGCTAGTAGAGCGTCAGCAGTTGCAGTGGGAGACGTCTATTTAGATTTTGGCTTAGATAGGTTTCTAGTTTTGAAAGATTGTCTTTATGTTCCTTGTTTTAGAAAGAATTTGATTTCAGTTTCTAAGTTGTTTATGAACGGTTTTTCCGCTACCTTTGATAAAAAAGTTGTTATTTGTTTTGGCAAAAAGTTCATATGTTCTGGTTCATTAGTTTACAATCTATACATT